ATCGTTATCTTGCCAAGTATGTCTTTCAATGTCAGAGATTTTTGGGTAAATGCCTTTGGCTCGAAGGAATCGGTGTTTTTTGAGGGGACCTCTCCCTTAACGGAACTTACCCACCAGTCTACTGGGGGCCTGGACTGAACTCATTTATAGAATTATTCATTCCGACATTCACACCTAAGCATGGTGACTGATTTATCGATGCATTTTGACGTGATTCGCTTCCTACCTCGGCCGACCGAGACCGTTTGCCACCGGGTTTGTTCATTCTCGTATAAAGTTCACATAAAAACGGGTGGGACAGAGGGGGAGGACGAATAGTCAAACCCCACCCCACGGAAACTTTCATCCTAGCTCGGTGACTCACTCAAAAGTACTTTTGTTTGTCTATAGAGGAATTAGTTCAGTCCGACTGGACGGGGTTTCGATAGATCCGGTCCAATCGGTTACTTTTGACGGCCGAAGAACCAATCCATTTCTTGGGTTCCTGGTAGAATGCGATTGACTGGTTTCCCTCTAAGTTACGGTGTATTCGCTTGAAGTTACAACGGTTTCACTTGAAATTGAAAAGGTATGGAGCACAGATCTTTGGCGGAGCCATGTCTCTCGTGCTCTAGTTGTTTTATGATCACATTTTTGTTCACGGCTTTGTAAGAAAATAACGAAAGGGATCAAGCAATCGAGGCTAACTGTTGATGGCAGAGGTGGACAAGGAACAAGTTTGTACATATCGGGTGATTCTAGAGATCATAAGCGCTGCTGTTTGGAAAATCCAGCTGCGGTTAATTTGCCTTTTCGTTCGGCGAAAGTTGATAAAATAGCCAATCATGATAGCAACATACTAACCCACGCCCCTCCATTCCTACTTAGTTGTCTGTTCATTTGCTGAAGCAAAGTTGTTACATTTGTTTTCAGCTTTCTCTGCTTGAGACAAACAGTTGGTCTGGCCCCACGCGTCATTCCTGGGGTTTTGGGAAACATACGCAGAATTGTGCACTAACCATCAGTCAGGTTAGGAATGCTTTCAAACCAGTCATAATCCCGGAGGCTAGTGCTGAAATCAGCGCGCTGTGACACCCGCAAGAAGCTTACAAAGGTGGGCTGGGTATGCTGTGTATAAAGAAACGACAAAATACAATTTGATCAGCTACCCGGTGGTCGAGTGTGTAGTATGCCCGCTTTTTATCTGTAATGCCACTGGTTCGGTCCTCGGTGGAGTTTATGGATTCGCATTGCCGATGAGATACAACCAATTTTCCAGGTTACGCTTGACTTGCTCTCTACATGGCGAAATTCGCTATGTGTTTGTATGATTGTTATATGAACGCCTGATTTCTCTGAACTTCAAAGGGGAAGCAGAATGTATTTAATTTTTCATTCATATATGGTACGTTCCTTTTATCTCTTTAAATTTAATCAGGGTCCCTGTTTGGGCAATCAGCTGGCTCTCGCACATAGTCGACTTTGGGATGCGGTTGGAGGGTTCATATACGTCTCAGCTCAAATGCAAGACAAACTGAGTCGCGATCCGGATCAACTGGATTTGTTACGCGAATTTCTCAATCTACAGAAAGAATTGATGATCATGCTGTTGTCTATGCTTGAAGGCAATGTGGTCAACGGCCCGATCGCGCGCCAGATGGTAGACACTTTGGCTGAATCTTCAGCTTATGTTGAGGTGCAGTATTTTCTTCATTCATGGAAATTGATGCATCAATTACATTTTCCTAGCATGCTTCACACCAATGAATACTTGACGCCAAACAGTTTTCTTATCCCGTTAGTATACTTGCATTTATTTAACGTACAGTACTCACAAGAATGCCCTTTTAACTTGAAAAAGCATTGTAACTGTATATCCGAAATTTACTGCCGAAAACTCTTGTTCCACATTTGTAATATATAAAGTAGTCTTAAGGGAACACAAGTCATTGTTTCCTCCACGTTTCTTTCAGTATGCCATACAATATATATATATATCACCGGCTTGCGACTAAGCATGGTGCCAACACCACAACAGAAGCACTGGATAGGTGCATTGGTATACAGAACGAAGTTTAAAGAAGAATAAACAATTACAATGGAAAACAGTGGGTAGCAGGAATAGCAATATTTTTTGTGTTTAATTTCTTATTGTTGCTATTTTCCTGAAGTGCTGATCGCATTTACGAAATTACACGTTGGGGATCACATTACGGTATACCCGAGTGAGATAGCAGTGAGTTATATGTTCGTAGTGATTTTGGCAACAGCTACCCCATTGGAGTTTTAGATTGAAGATTTTTGCGAGCAGGACAGGTTGGAACATCCATTTCGCACATCCTAGTGCCTACGAACAATCTGATACGCGAAACCAAACACAATATTATCGATTTGATTGGACTTCTCGCTCAAAGTCTAGAGTTTCGAATGTGGAACCCAGAGGTAGGGGTTGATTCCATCAACTCAAAGTTTGCGAATGGATTCCTGGGAGCGGCACAAAGCGTCTGCACTGCTGACTGGTGGCAGCAAGGAAGAAACAGCTTTCCAGTGATTTTTGGCGATCATTACAGAAATGTCTATTTCAAATAAATGGGCACGCTATAAGTTGAAAAAATATTATTTCATAGATAAATCCGTTTCATGCTAGTCTGAATCCGATATGTGCCAAAAGGAACGTGTTACTATTTCTATCATCACAATGAAATTAATCCTTATTGTACGTTACTTGCAGGCTAAAACAGATGATTTGCAGCTGGATATCCAGCGGCATTAGATTGTTCTAATGTTTAGCTATATTAAAGGAGAATAGAAGAGCAGTTTGCCCCCTTTGTTTAAGTGCATGGTTAATGAATTTGATATTGGAATGATGCACCTCATGACAAATGCCCGTTTTATTGTTCTCAGCGTAATGCAGTTCTATCCTTTTGCAGATGATCTTGAAGTTCTTCGATATCTTTCTGCGCATGAAAGCGATAACTACGTCGGATGCGTTTCTGGTATGTCTCTTTGCTGAGGTTTCTGCTATTTGAATGCATTCACTTAATTTTCATTTTTATTGTTATCAGTGAACAGGAAACCCCCATTATGCCTCATAACTCGAAAAGAGTTTATCATTAATATTATTATTCTTATAGAACATCTATCACTAGCCCGTTTTTAGTCCATAGATTTTTAATACAGTTACTATTGTAGTTTGGCTGAAATCACTCATAATTACTAATAATCAAATTAATTATCACCTATTTTGAAGGAACATTGAGCAAATAGAGTAAGTATTTATTGAATAAGTCTACTCACTCATCATTTTTCTCCTGCCTGCATGTTCTGTTTTTCCTGGAACTATTCGTATCCTAATTGCTATCATAAGAAGGATCGTTCTTTACACACTGGTAAATGGTTACTCTCACGTTTTGTATTTCAGGCCTTTGATGTGAATGGAGATGGCTGGATTTCACATCGGGAATTTCGAACGGCTTTGGAGCAACAGAAAACGTACACGGCGTAAGTTCAACGTCATTCATTTTCTGACGTTGTTCACCTGGGACTATTTGGGGTTGAGAATCCAAAAGATAGAAACCAAAACCGGTGCACGAAATTGCACGGTCAATGGTTGTAAAAAACTGAAAGGAACTGAACACTTCAACCGAGAAGTGCGTAGTGATCCGAGGCCACGTAGTTCATTTTCCAAGATCTAATTTTGGTACCCGTATTAAATAAACTCACTTGTAACTATAAGGGTCAGATGCGGAACACTTGTGCCCAGGTCAGTACCCTAGTAGCTATTATCGAGATGAGCGCCGTCAAATACTCCTGAAAAAAGCTATCTGATCGGTTGTTTGATGGTTAATTGTTTGGCTCCGAGTTTAATCTCTATTAGGGTCGATAGATTCCCACTGCTGTTAAGACCCATTAGCGCTGAAACAGTTATAAAGCGCTTCCAAACCTTTCAGTTGATGTTTCCTCTGCTCCCTGCACCAAGTAATTAAAGTGTAGGTGAATTAATTTATCCAATACTCTAAATAAATAGCTGTTATACACACGTTTCTATGAAACACCACCTCACATTTCATTTTCTTTTTTAGCTGAAACTTATAAATAACCAAGCCAGATCGCTTTATTACCAGTAATACCATTGTTTAGATTCCATGATCTCTATAATACCGGTAGTATTTAGTCATAAAATAAAATAATTAAAAATGTTATACGAATCTAAAGTACATTGTATTCTGTGTAGTTTTCTAACCTGTCACGGTCAAGATCTCAGATTTCTGCTAAACAGAAATGAGCGACATGATTTTTATCCAGCAAATCGATAAGTGCTTCAATGGTATAACATATTTTATGTGCAAAACCAACTAATCTAACTTAAATTGGTAGAATGACTTAGTGATCTAAATATACCACTATACTCGGCATTTGAGACGGAATGTCATAATCAGTCTATTTGAGATAATCCTTTATCTTACACATTCTTGTCAATGGTAGCTGACGTGGGAACTTGAACAACAAAAATTTCACTAAAATGAAATGTAGTTCTAAATTATGTTAAACGGTGCTATCAAATGGACGCAAAATGTTCACTTTATGCTTCGCAAATATTTTATTTCGAGTCTTCACCTAGACTGCGAATCTTCTGCAGATAACCAACAGAAGTCTGTTAGAAGTATAAGCAGCACAAAACTGATGGAAGTTTTGTTTCAGCTTTCATTTTAAGGATTGGGAAACCTCAATGTTTTAACTAGCTTTCTTCTAGACAAATTTGCCTCCCAGAGATACTTTACCTAATGATATCCAACTCACGTTGTAACTGCATGTACCATTTCCTGACGCCGACTAACATGTTCCTCATATTTCCGATTCGTTTATTGCTTCATAGGGTTTAAATGGAAAGAATTCTTTTTGTCTTCTCTGTGAACGTTGGATAGGTCTTTCAGCTATTAGATTGTTTAACCGAAATGTGCAGCAGGCACTAAAAAGTTGAAAAGTTAACAGTCGGTACGTTGCAGTAGCAGTTGATCTGGCAGAGCAAAAGGTCCAATTTCACTGTGCATAGGACTGTTCCTCACTGGAAATTATCCTCTGTTCTAGGAATGATGTGACTGTTTATTGAACAGATTTGTCAGATTTTTCCCCTACTTCCTCACACAAAACATTCAGTGTGACTGATCCGAAAGTTTTACATGTTATATGTTTCGAATATATAACACTGACCAGTGTTGTGTAACATTAATCAAATTATGAGAACGAAATCATTCACGTTATTTATAATACGTACCTCAAGATGCTGTGTACTCATCTGCTGCTTATTACGTTCAGGGAGGAAATCAGTTACATTATCGCCTGCGTGGACACGAATGCCGATGGAAAAGTGGATTTCAAAGAATTTACTGAGCGATTTTACAACCCAGCCGAGGATATCGGTTTCAATTTCGCACTTTTGCTAACGAACTTGTCAGAACATGTGCCATTTGATCCAAGGTAAATGTCTTTGCTTGCCGGATCCTAAGGTAGGAATTGGAGTCATGTTTCATAATTAACTTGAGGAACTGATAGAACACTCATTCACTCTATATTAAATCCTCTTTCCATTCTCCGGTTATTTTCTTTGGTTAATTCATTTTTTCAAAATGACTGCTAATCCATCTCACATGAATTACTTCGATTTTAAAATGTTATTGTGAACAGTACTTTCTATTTTCATTGTGAAGTTTTCATCATGCATGCTGCCTTTAGCGTGGCAACAATACCCAATGCCAACATGCATATTTGCCGTTATACGACGACGACTCATTCCTCTGCTCCTTTTTATATCAGGCTTGAACGTCTCGTCGAGAAGGCACGCGGTGTTTTAGATGTGTTTGAGCCTCATCTAGGTCGAATTGAAATTACCGGATCGAACGGGCGCATAGAACGTGTGTATTTCGAGATCCGACAACAACATATTGACCAATGGGAAGCACCACAAATCAAGGAATCGAAGCGATCATTCTTGCATTCCGTGGTTGGGGAAAGTGGTGACAAGGAAAAGCTAGAATGCTTTGTAAACTTTTGTGAGGATACCATTTTTGAAATGCAGCACGCACAGGAAATTAACGGCGATGAGGCGGATATGACATTGAGCCGGGTAAGCCAAACGTTGCTAGTTTATGTGATTCTTAAATAATCTGTTGTTTTCCTCGTTAGTGTGTAATGTATATTTTTTACGAGTGTTTTAGAAATACTACCAGTTTTATGTAAGAATAAATGTCGTTTAAATCATATGAAACCCACAAATGGACAGATTCACTGGAAAACGCTATTGTTTAAGCGGATGTCTACCCTAGGAGATAGTTCGAAAACTCATCCGAAGTGGTATTATCCTCCCCAGCAGATAACTCTAAATATATATGTCCCCCAGTGCATCATGATGTATCCAATGGATTCCGTGTCGCTATCTATTGTTGTAAGATGATATTCAATTTATTTGCCTTGATTCACAGGTGGCTGCCTTTAATCGATTCTTGGAGATCACACATTTGGCATTAGTCAGTCGTGTTTTCTCCACAATATTTCGGTGTGTACGTCCATCCTATTTGGCTTCCGGTTGGGCAACTTTGCGTCAGATGAGCTTCACGGACATAGTGCTTGCTTTTATGGGCTTACAAATCGGCATTCTCATATGTTTCGGACGCTGTGTGTCTTTCACGGTTCGCTTTGTCTGGCAAATCATTTTGGCTATGGCCTCTGATCGGGATGCGGAACGGAAAGCGAGTCGGTTAAAGGCATTAGATTCATCTGGTCGGCCAGTGTCGGTCTCAATGACGTCACAAGTAAGTTTGTATATTTGTGTAGTGCTAGTCGTAAGAGTTGATTATACAACACCGAGAAGCTTCCGTCTGTCCCTAGGGATCTAACTACATAATAACCCAAATCACGGTCACCTAAGATGGGGTTGTGCAACTGCGATCGACCTCACGAAATTTCTCATTGGTTGTTCTTATCCCCTTAACGTTGTGGTCAGCTCTGCCACATATATTGCACTTAATTATAGTAGCTACCAGGAATCCCTTCACAGCATAGAATTTGGTAATGACTGGGACCAAGATAAACGATTTTCAAAGCAAAAGTTCGACCAACAGCTCGACGAAGCATAATAATGAAATATTTTAGCGTACAATCTGAACAATTTTCATTTATATATGAGCATTTCAATCTTTAAAACACAACACTGAGATAATCAGAGAAAAATGACCGATTGGGATGTAGAATGACAAAAATTTACAAGAGTTTTGGACTTTCACTGGTCCTAGCTGCTCATTTTCCGATGCACACTAAACAGGGACAGAGATTTCTATTGGTTCTGATCTGTTGGCCTGTATTCACAAATTCGTTGTCGGAAACCATAGGTTAATTAATGATATGGCATTCTTTTGTAAGCAACCAGTGTCATTGTTAACCTGGTTTTCTTATTTTCCTCATGTTGATACTCTGTGTGGCGGCTTGCTGAAATTCCTCACGAATAATATTGAAGTTCGTGGATTACTCATGCATGAGCTTTCGGAATGCTTTAATGAGTTCGATGTTTCTACTGTTTCCAAGGAACAACAGTGGTGGCTATTATCAGAAGAACAACAGCTCCTGCTGGAGCGAGTCGATCCTACGGAGCTGGAAGCAATGGAGGAAGAATATATGCAACGCAAAGCAGCGGCTGCAGCTTCGTCATCCGTCATATCACCTTCCCATATCACACCTAGTCCAACTGTGACTACACTGGACGGATCCAGTAAGTGCATGTGGTGGTTATTTGAATTTACTTATTTAACTCGCCCCCCGATGTGATTATAATTTTACCGCATTAAAATGAATTGCTCATATCATTTCGACCTTCACTTTGGTCACAGGTCATCGGATCAGTACAACGCTCCGAACCGCGGGGGTTGTTTCTGCTCCACCACTACAAACGGCAGTGCTTGAACCGATCAAAATCAAACCGGCCGAACGCGAAGCTGAAGCCACCGAAGAGGAAAAGACCCCCCAGTTCAACACACGAGCATACGTCATTTCTGTGTTTGCCAGCAACTTCTATCGCTTCAAGATTAGCGCTCTGATCCTGGCCTTCGTCATCAACTTCTTGCTACTTTTCTTCAAAGTAATGCATCTGGGTTGTTTATTGCATTTCATGATTTCTGAGAACTGATGATAGAAATATTAGAAATACCGTATCACCAGTATAGGAAGCAGCAAACCAGGTTGCTAGACCTCATGACACATACCTGAAATTGCTCTAGGTTTTCCGAAATCGTAGAAAAGTAATATTTGATGTTCGTTTTCTCCAAGAGATGAATAATTGTCAACACCACTGACTTGCTTTTAGAGTCTGGAAGTTTATCAATAATTGTCCTATTAAATCTAATTTTAAAGTGCCTCTATTCTTTCATTAAACAATGTAGTTCCCATAAAAGTGTAAACAAAGTCAATACAACTCTATTTACAGGATAAACTTCGAAGCGTCAAGAATATAAGTGAAACCTGATCATTAAGATGTTTTTATTTTGGGCAAACCGTATGGAAATCATGAGCATTGATGACTGTGTGCTGGGGTGCAGAGATGGATTGGGAAAATGTTGCTTCTAGCATGATAGGATACAGTTGCATCTCGTAATTTACTGGGTTAACTTATGACTAATGGGTTGGAGCCTTTTTATACGTGAATGAATGTTAAACTAACAAAACAATAATCCTCCAATATCACTTTGTCGTACCACCGAAAACCGAAAAAACACTGTACAGCGGATGCATCTATTTTGAGGAGTGCCTAAGGTTGCTTATCCACAGACCCTGTAGTGATTTGAACGCGAAATGCACTGTACTAGTTCCAATATGCTAGATTCTCATTGAGGGCACTAGTAGTTGGGTATTTCTACGGTTTTTTAGCAGTTTATGATACGTTGACATAGAATAGTGCACAATTGTCTTATTTCTTCTACTCATAGCGTCAAGTAAATAGCACAACGTTGCGAGATTTATCACAAACTGGAAAGTGAACATGACCATTGCATTCAAAGGTGTGTGCTTTTTTCGTACAAAACTCCCATTTGCGCCAGGTTGCAGGGCGTCTGCTATAAAGAAATGGAAACCTGAACAACGGGAGCAGAATGAGTTATTCTTAACTCTTACCTAGATTTGGTTAAAATGGACCATCAACATTTAATTACCGGTAGCTGTAACTTATTATTTTTTATCATGTATTTCAACTGGAATATGTGCCTAATGCGGTGCAGCAAAATTGTTTCAGCAATAAATTTTGAAACTCTGCGCTTTTGTATCCTCTATTCAAAAAAATCTTCTTCATGGAGGTTTTGGTAAACCATTACTCGTCATAGAAAATCATTTTTTAAACAGGAACTAATACTAAAAGACTTCGAATACCCTCAATGTAATTTCAAACGCAAACAAGTATATAACGTATACTAGTGCAATCGGATAACAACATTTTCAGATTGATAATGTAGGTGGATGATCCAGGGAAACAGGATACTGTGGTTCCCGCTGCAGGCAGATGAAAACAGATCAGCATGTACGAGGTGTTTATTTAAACAATAATTCCATCTGCTTACTGATAAATCCGACATTTTCAATTGTTGTTGTTACATGAAGGTACATTCTCTTTCGCACATATCAACAAATTTATGATTGCTTCTATAGAATTTTGAGTAGAATATGTTATCATTGAGGGGCCTTATTCATCCCTTAGAACTTAAGATATAAGGCTCATGCATTTCAGACAACTTGTGCCACCAACTTACTTAGCAATCGCTCCAATGATTTTAAATTTTAGCCCTTCTGAAGTAAATTTGCACAAGGTAGGGGAATCTACGTTCCTGTGGCCGCATTTTTACTAATCCGTTGTCTTATTTGCGCTTCAACACTATTTCATTTTAACTAACTAGAAGGCAACTTTTGAGTTTTTCTTTTCACGAAACTTAATGCAACTGCAAAACCTGTCTAACTACTTTCATGAGTTTTTGAAAGATCTTATGTGAGAGAAAACTGGTTCTTAGTGAGCTGTTTAAGCCCTCCCATGATATAATCATCCAATTCTGCAGCCCATTTACAGTTAAGATAAACAACTTCATGGCTGGCAGGTTTTCGCGTTAATATGTTAATAAAATAAAGACGGGAAACTTCTAAAGTTTGTGTAGATGTCCCATATTTCAAAGTAAATTTTGCAACAGTTAATCGGATTTTAGATGCCGAACTTGCAAAAGAATGACCTGAAAACACCAGGTAAAAATATAATTGAACACAAAATTAAAAAAAGAATGTGCTCTCCGGATATCCAATGCCATTGTTCCAGAAGGACAGAAATCTCCGTTTGTATCCACATGAGGCTGAATGCAGAAGAAAGCATCGTTAATCTGTACCTTTTGTTTCTTTTCACTCAACAGGTTCACACTGCGCAACCTGGTGAAGGTGAGGAAGGTTTAGATGATGTGATGGGAGAGGCTATCATCAATGCGGCTGGAGAAGCGGTACGAATGGCAGCAGATATGGGCGGTACGGGCGGAGATTCAGGGGATTCCGATGCACCCGAACNCCCGAACCAGAAGAGTGGATCACGCTATCCGATTCAAATGCGTACATAGCTCCGCTGATTGCAGTGCTGGCGGTCATACATACCATTTTATCGTTTAGCATGCTGGTAGCATATTATTATCTCAAAGTACGTTCATTTACTTGTTTACAATTCATACTTTAGTCGATAATATTGATTGCACTTGAATTATCTCATCTGAAGGGATGAACTTATATCTATCCAGACCTAATCATATGGTATGATATTATGCAGCAAAAGGTTCTTTCTTCAAGTTTCTGCACCATAGACGGAATAAAATTCTACGCTACATATATCAGAGTTTGAGTCAACTGACTAGCGTTTTAACTGACCATTCAGTGGCACTAATAACACAGACGATTTTACAACATTGTGTCGGGATTTTCTTCAATTTGACGCAAAACGCTGTCAACTCAACCTGCACCGTGTACTGATCTTTAGCCGGAGATCAGAAAATTTTATGAATAGCCAATAATATTCGAATTTTCTGTTTAGGGTGTTTTTCTCATATGCATCGTCCGTTAGAATCCATAAAGTTATACATCTTCGTCCGTAACTTTACCCACGGGTACGCCATAATTATGCCACTTAGTTATTCGGGTGCTTGGTAATGTGGTATAAATCCTTTTTTACAATCACAGATTCGTCAAAAAATAACATTCCGGATAGGACTACATAAAGCAGAGAAATTTATTTAGTTTGGTGCTGATGTACCAACGAAATACGTAACACTTTTTATTCAAGCCTCGCACCTCTATATCACATTATTATGTTGCTAAGATAGCTCTTTATACATCCAGCAATACTTACTTTCCTTCCTATTCGCACTTATATTGTTTTTGATGATACTTATCTCTTGTCTATCTAATTTGCATTGATTTTCGTCTGGATCATTTCTAATCAAAGGTTCCTCTGGTCATCTTCAAACGGGAGAAGGAAATTTCTCGCATGCTGGAGTTCGAAGGGATGTGGATATCACAGCAGCCAGCTGAGGATAATTTGCGTGCACATTGGGATAAATTGGTCCTTTCGACTCCATCATTTCCGCAAATGTACTGGGGTAAATTCGTGAAGAAGAAGGTCCGCAACAAATACTCGGTGCAGTATGATTACGATGAAATCACAAGGCTGTTGGGCATGGATAAACCCGTTCCGGATGCGACGGCATCCAACAGTTCCATCATGAGCATGTGAGTCTTGATAAATTGAGCGGCAAAAGTGAACATATTGCTGCTATTGCAGATTTTTATCTGTCATGCTGCGGTTGACAATTCACATCCTGATCTCTGTTATAGCTAGAATCGTGGTCCGATATTGATCATAATAGTTGTGTTATACTTTATCTCAACGAACCTTTCAGCAGAGCAACTATAAATCACACTTCAAGCAAGTTATTAGGAAAAGTTGAAATAGTGAATGAGTTGAAATACAGAGAGCCAGTTTTTCCATCATTGGTTTATCAATCTGTGTATTCAGAACCAGCTTTGTGCAGTTTCAATTTCATATTCAACATATATGAAAATATTCCACCTAAACCTATCTCTCCGTTGAATTTCTATGATTCGTGTCTCTTAGTAAGTTCGCATAGTGCAGAAAGCAAACTGAATTAACAAAACAATGTTTTATCCGGTTGAATCACCTCATCTTTATGTTTTAGGTTTACTGGAATGGATTTACAATACTTGATTTGGAAATGGGGTGTGGTATTCACGGATATCGTAAGTACTTTGACATTCTACTTTTTGTATCTCATGTTTCGCTGTTTTGAGCCTTGTAAACTGTCTCAGAGAACTGAATGCAACATCTAAATAATTTCAGTCGGTCGATCAATTTTCTGCTCCGGTCTAATGCAATGGAGGGTGCTACAAATTAACTTCTGTTTTGATCTAACTACATATTGATTGAACCTATAACGAAAACAGACGAGCATGTTAAACTAAAACCCCTGCCAGACCAAACTTCCTGTTTAAAATGGAAATTTGGGAATGTAGTGTAGATATTCAGTGATGACCCAGATTACAGATAAAGATAATGATGGTGAAGATAAACAACTACCTTTTACTTTAATGGGATGGAAATGTTTGTGATAACCAACAAAAAGCACTGGACAGCTGTTTCGTCCTGTCTGGGACCCGTTATCATGATAGTCTGTCCTCTTTTGGTCACTCGGTTGCACACTGTATTTTATAAATTACCATTGGGCAGTGCAAAATATCGGATCTGCGTTTCCACGCCAGAGGAAATAACTTTCAAACATTGCGATAAAATAGTTAGCTTTTAATAACACAAGAGTCAACTCAGTGCCTTGATTTATAACAGGAAGTTTCTGTAAGGTCCAAGGACTTTCAACGACACTGATGGATGATCATTAGATCATCTAGTGTTCGCATGTAGAATGCTACTGGGATCTGATTCAAATAGTCCTAGGGGTTAGCGCATCGTATCAATAGTTTGTCGGGCACTCCAGTGTCCAGTATCAGGCTGTGAGGAACGATGCGCAGCTTTTAAGGTTTCACTCAAAGGTCATCGCAAAAAAGATGTAATGAAACAGATGTGATTCAATAATTCAGCTCGTTTGTTTGATGCTCTGAGGATTGTTTTAGGAATTTCATAGGAGCTTACCGAACGTTGTTCGCATAAATAAGTACTGCCTTCGTAATAGTGAGTGGTTTGCCTCAACCACGTATTTATTTTGATTACGAACTATATCGATGTTACATGGGTACAATGAACCTCTCAGTAACAATCCCTTGTCTATTAATCCATCCATGGTTTTACCTTTCAGTCGTTCCTTTATCTGGCCGTTTATTTTGCTGCATCTTTCTTCGGCAACTTCAACTATTTCCTTTATGCATGTCACCTTTTGGATGTGGCTGTCTCATTCAAAACATTGAACACCATCATTCAGTCTGTGACACATAACGGAAAACAGGTAAGCAATACTATTGGTTCTGTACAATTTGTTGTTTGTCTCTCATGAGAAGTATGTTGTGAAACCATCCAATCACTTCATACACTTGTTCGTTTGCTCATGAATAATATAATGATATATAATAATATATGATATAATCTCTCGCGAAATTCAACATGTGGGTTTTTTCAGCGCATCACATTATCTTATGGGAATATATTTTTCTTTTTCACCGTGCACAGAGAAGAGCTTAGGATGAGGAATAACGAAAAAGAGATTGTCACATTATTGTTTTCCCTCGTATTTATCTTGACTTAACTTCACTTTGACACGTAAATCTTATTCATAAAGACATTGGATCCCTATCGATTTCGGTTTGCATTTGTTACAATCATCAAACTTCATCTTCCGTGACCCACTTTAAGTGGGTCTGATTACTCATATGTTCCATCAAACGAGAAAACAGTAACAGGTTATGGCCATAGCAGAAAGCAGTATCACTGTGTTGATGAACAACGTGGGTAAGTTGAATGCCTGTAAAAAACGGGTAGACCACAGACCAGGAGGCCTGATACAATCTTGCGAACGCCGTCCGCTGCTTAATATTTCCATACCTACTCAACAGTTGATACTCTCTCTTATCACGCCTATTCGTTCAGGAAGTGGGCTATTTTTTAAATAGATGCAGCCATTCAGTCACCCCACTTTCGAGTTCACATCAATTCACGTTTTGAACTGTAACTGAGGATGCATTTTTCCTTGAATTTTCCTTCAGTTGGTTTTGACCGTGATGCTTACTTCCATTGTGATCTATCTGTACACGGTGATCGCCTTCAATTTCTTCCGTAAATTCTATGTGAAGGACAACGACGGTGTTCAGGATCCAAAGTGTAATGATATGAAAACGGTACGTTTGCAACGCAGATATACAATGAATTACTTTTGATGAAAAATACTGAATTACCTTTCTAATAAAAGATTGGTTTCTGGATAATGAATAATTGAATACTGACAAAAAATGTCAGTAACCATGTATGGTTAAGATGTAATGTATCGTATTACAGTATTGGGTAAGGCATACCACAGATTTAACTCTTACATTAAGTCATACAATTGATCAATGATTGCTTTCCTTCGGTTATTTTAATCCAGTCAATTTGAATTTGTGTGATACCGTTCTTGTTTTTACGTTTTTTTTTTACTTCTATGTGTACAATCAGAGGTACCCTGTTCTTTTAATTAATTTACTTGTGGTTTCTCTGGCAGGATCTGCATGGTTCACTTCTTCAATCTTTTTACGCAGACAAATATTTCTTGAACTAGGTTGAACAGGCATTATCTTTGCAGCAACAGTCGTAAGCTCATCAACTCAGGAAACACTGCTATCCATTATTGCGCGAATCAGAAAGAGCGTGTACATAATAGGAATATTTTATTTAAAACCAACCCAGATGAATAGGCTCATCCACTCCAGATTGGGCGATTAAAAGTGATGTCCATTACCAAGTCAAACGTTTTTAATCTACTTTGGACACAAACCGCTGTTTAGAACTCAGAATTGCAGTTTTATTTTACATCGTCCACGATACGGGTGTATCTTTTAAACCTTTTTCAACCAATCTGTGGTGAGGCATTTGACACAACTACAATAGTCGGCTGCGCAGCGCACGATCAAGACTTCACTTATACTCAAAGCTTTACAGCATCATCCTTTGTAGAAAATACAGTCAACATCCGTTGATCTCAGAATATCCTGATACACGTTGATCTGAATCGCTCACACCACCATTGCTAAAGTTTGTGCATTAAGGCTGAAGGACTACGGTATATGGCTAAATAATTGCGAGTTCTATCAACGCTTGATGGACAAAATGAAGAAGTCTATAACGATAAGTTATAAGCCATAACTTATAGTGCAAGAAATTATTTATCCCGAACAGTACAAAATTCCTTTGCACATGGACTGTCATTTTCTCTTCCTTAGTTCCGCTTTATCTCATACATATCAAAGTGCTATACTTCTGTCATCTTTTATATATTGAGTGATTTTGTCTCTAGATGTGACAAAATTATTCTTCTAGTTATCTGAAAAATCGTGTCCATCAGTTGGAGCCAGATGATACCTGATAATTAACCGACCACGGTTTGTTTTTACTTGTGTTATGAACCTGTTTGCCTTATCCGAAAAAAAAGTTGCCTGCCAGTCTGGTGCACATGTTCTTGTGTATTTCATTTTTCTGCTTTTTTAGTGCTTCATTTTCCATCTGCACACGGGTTTACGTGCTGGTGGTGGAATCGGTGATGAGATTGAGGCTCCGGATGGAGATGAATGGGAGAATTTTCGCATACTTTTCGACCTCACATTTTTCTTCTTTGTCATTATCATCCTGTTGGCTATTATTCAAGGTTTGTGCATCTGTTATGTATCACTTCATGCATATGCCTACGCACTATGAGTCATTTTGGTCTTCAGGATATCGACAAACTAAGCACATGTAGTGGACAGTTTCTACTGGCCTTCCTGTCTAGGTTGAGGTTTACTCATCTTGCAATCGGAGACACTAACATAATATCAAAATTCTCCAGCTTCTTGATTTGCGAACCGGATGACCCAACAGTCTTATTTTAGTCTCTCAAGTTGAGCAAATGCATGAAAGTTATCTATTGCAATTTCGAAAAAGTCGGGAGAAAAATGGCTTTGTAGCGTCAAGAGAGGAAAGGTGAAGTGATTTGAAAACGATATGTTTAATGAAGAATGTAGTGGATTGGGATTTATGGCGGACCACCTTCTAGTCTGTGTAGGTACAAAATTCTTCGATACAAAAGCATGATAATTTGTTCGTTACCTTCCAGTTCTTGGAGTGTTATATTCTCATTGCGACTACAACACTATGGTTGTGAATATACATGTGAACAGGTTTCTCATTTGGGAGGATATCTG